TCCTTAAACCGGAGAAATCGGGATGACATTTACAGTGACTCGGGAATCTATGCATAGTAAAAGAGATCATAAGATGATCCGCCTTTAGAGTCAGTAAATTGAAGACTCCTTATTTCATATAAAGCTAACCCTAAACCGCAAGGGTTGATGCGTTTCCTTACCCTAGGTTTTATGGGAAGGTAACCGAGACGAAGGGACAAATATACAGAAACCAAATATGTTTAATAGGATGATCAAATCATTAATCTAACTAGTTCTGGGGCAACAAAGCATTGCTAGTGCTCTGTGTTGTCATTAGATGGGTTGTGGGCTTATTGGGCCCAAACCCATTTATGTCAGTGGCTAAGTTGGACCTAATGGGTCACACACAAACACCTAATTGTCTAGATGCTCTAGCATTAAAGATATTGGGCCTAATAATAGTTATTAGCCCAAGAAGTTGTTTGGAACTCCACCTAAAGGGGTGGAGGGCGCATGGATCATTGTAATGGGCTTGGATAGTCAAAGACATTACTAATTAATTTAATTAGTTAAATTAATTATCAAACATTTAAATTTTGAATTTTGGAATTCGAAATTTGAATTTTGAAATTTTGAATTTTGAATTTGAATTTCGAAATTCGAATTTTGAATTTGAAATTTGAAATTTTAATTTTGAATTCGAATTTTGAAATTTGAATTTTGAAATTTGAAATTCGAACTTTGAATTTGAATTTTGAATTTGAATGTTTGAACATTTGAATTTGAATATTTGAATGTTTGAATTCAAATATTTGAATTCAAATATTTGAATTCGAATTTGAATTGCCTATGAAAGGTTGTTTCATAACAAAAGAATAAGATGAGATCTTGTTGGAACAAATCACTAGTATCATGAGAGAATCTTTTGGACATAATCCAAGGCTATATATGGCGCTGATTTGGGCTGTTGGTGAGCAAGATTTGCTCATCAAAATCAGCTCCAGAAGATTCAGTCAGTTGGGAGAAAATCTGAGTGAGTTGATTCAAATTTGAATGCAACTACTTAGATGTATATGGTCACCTTTTTGGGCTATATGGGGCGCACCATATAGCTGATCTTATCAAGATTTCTGATCAGAATTTTGAATAGGTTTTGAACCAATTCTCAAGAGAATATTCCAGGAGCCTGTTAGCAATTTTTGAAATTAAATAGCTCCACTTCTCTCTCTCTCCAATCTGGCGCCTAATGATCAGATTTTTGGGAGAAAAATCTGATTGGTATTTTATTTTAAATACTCTCCTCTTATGCGCCTAAGTAATTAGTTGTTCCTCCAAGGGTTTTTCTGAAAAGCCTAGCATATTCTCTCCTTTCTCCTGCGCCACTTGTGAAGCTTTCACATTGAGAGCTTCACTCTTTCAAACACTTTCACCTAGCCTCCATCTTCACACATAGAGCGCCTAGCAAGCCTCTTTGTGGTGATCATCCGGTGGCTTCACAAGAAGGAGTTCTTGCACCTAGACGAGAGTGGGTGGTGTGGATCAACATTAGAGGGTCTGAACCCTTCAGACCTGCCTAGATCATCTGGTGATTTCACGAACAAGGTAACATCATGCTTTCCTAAAGCATGATCTTGATGTGCATGTATATTCCGCAAAGAAAAATTTTATTTTTCCCTCTTGCATGCATCGGCCTTCAAGGCCATTTCGAACTTTCACTGAAGACCTGCGGCGGTAAGATAAGGGGGGCCACCTACCAATGATATTCCAGATGTGGTCGTTGATTACTTTACCCAGCAGGATTTATACATGTCGCACGCATGCGACATATTCAGGTATGCACTTTTAGGATGTAATGTATTATATTGTTATTCTATTTAATAACATGTGATGTGATAATTGTATTATGTAATTCAGATTGATGTTGCCCTGATGAGTGCTCTGGTGGAGAGGTGGAGACAAACCAGTTTTGTTCACCCACCTACTGTTTCGATGAGTAATGAGACAATGTGCATGTGTATCTTCTGGCCATGGTGGGGGAACGAGTACGGGGCATGAAACTAACGTCACTTTAAAGTTTGTGGGTGCCATGGGACCATAGCCGTACGTAGACCAGTCTAGGCTAATGAAGCTTTTGAAGGAATGGTGTTTGAATCATTTGATGTAAATTGTTTCGTAGATTATAACCCTGAAGATGTCCTATTAATCCATTTAAATGTTTAACATAAGCATACATGTCAATGTTTATTTTGTTCGTCTTCACTCCTTTATATCAAATGTAAGTGCAACTGAAGTTCATTGTCTCACATTGATTACTCTTGTTCATTGTAGTGTTGGTTAAAATTCGACTACAACTGCAGAACATTGAGGGCCTTGGAGGCATGTATCAAGGACTTGGCATCACTGTGATGAGGGATATGTACCTTCTCATGGTTTCTACTTCTGCCCATATGAATACATGAGGGAAAGATTTCTCCCAGGGTGCAGAAAAGTTGTAAAAAATTTTGAATACTATGTTTATAGCGGGAGGATTAACTGGGGGATTGTGGTGGAAGGTGCTGCCACGCACAAGAAAAATATGTTACAATTAATTACTCTAAGTAGTATTTTTTTTTTCCACACTTACTTTGGTCAATCAGCCGTATGTTTTAACAACCTTCCAAAATAAGACCCTAAGCATTACACCAAGGAATTTTGCTTTGAAATTATTTTAAAGATGTCTGAAGCAGTTTGTATAACTTCAGGCATAGTTCATGAGTAGCATCGGGCAATCCCTATAACTTTCAACAAAAATTTCATATAAAATAGTTATGTTTCAATAAAAATGTGGAAAAGGTTATTACTTGAACAAAAAAAACCACAAAATGCAAAACTAATAATATCAAACATCCAATTTTCTTAAAAGCTTAAGCCATGAAGATTTACACTTCTCATATACAAAAGCCTCTTGGACTAAAGGGGTAGACAATCTAGAGATCCACCATATGTGCAAAAAAAAAAACTTTGTAATCTCTAATTATTTATTAATAAAATAGGGGGATATATAAGAATTGAACTTAGATCACCCAGTCACAAGGACTTTGATAGATACAAGTGAAACATCAAGGCAGTGTTATCCTTCCATTTATTTAAGACAGTCACGCAACCAACTCTAACATGGTTTTTTTCTTTTTCTTTTTCTGGAAATGAGGCCTGCAAGAATTGAATTTTAAAACACTTCATTGTTGGCTGTGATACCATATTATACAATCATTTCTGCCAAAAATTTAAGCTATTGAATAGCGACACATTAATAATAGGTTAAAAACCAAGTACAGCAGTTTCTGTGTATTCTCTGTATCGACAACCCCAATAGCTATTCGGAATCACACAATTATTTGCATAGGGACAGGTTATATTTACAAACTTTTTGTTTATAAACTCTTACAAATTACACTACTGGTCTTACATTAATCACACAGTGTACTATCGGTCTTACATTAGTGTAATTGCAAAAAAAGTTTGTAAACTGATCCTCTCCCTTTGCATAAAGTGATACAACTGCAAGAAAGAGACAACCAAAGGGTCCTTGTGACATAATCGAAGTTGTCAGCATAGTATAAGGAATCCAAAAACAACCACCAATGTTTTTCTCTCCAAATTAGATACTTATTTCGCGATTAGTGTTATGGTTACGTGGATGGGTCAATGACCATTGACTGCGTTAGCTGTAATACATGGTGTTATCTTTAATGCCTAAATTTAAAAAATTTAGCAGTCAATAAGTCAACTGGGGTAGAGTGTATTTGGTACAGGTTTGGGGTGCACTGTCATTTTCAGAAACCGTAAATGGGTGGATTGTTAATGGGTTTTATATTTATCATGTAATATAATACAACTTCACTTTTTACAGACACATTAAAGAGATGAGGTCTACATATTTTTCTTTTTCTTTCATCGTATTACTTTCTCTCTCTCTTTTATTTTGTATGTGTTGGAAACAAAACTTAAGTTATGTAACATAACATTAATAAAACTCCAATTTATTCTATTATTTATCGCAAATCTTATATATTCGATCTATTCTATTGGCACTTTATAGTTTATGGAAATGGATCCTCTCATGTGGGAAAAAAAACATGATATGGTCATGTGGAAAATCACAATCATACAATAGTAAATCAACGATTCTAATTTCGTAACTACCTATTTTAATATTTTTTCTCCCTCCTTTTTTATTACTATTGATCTACCTTTATATGGTTATGGTTCTCCACATGAGATAAACACGTGGATTTTTACACGAGAGGATCCAAAAAAGAGTTAAATAGTTTCAACAATATTTTTCGAGGCCAAGTGTTTCAAAAAGTTTGCGAAATTCTATAAAAACGTAGTTCACTTGTCCTCTTGATTTTGAAGTAACTTAATAACACAACCTCCGTGGTTTGAGTCGAATCAACTATTTCTTTCCCATTAGCAAAGTAAATTAGGTAGAGTTAACTTATTTCGTCCTTAACTTCTGGCATGTCAACTTACATGAATCAGGTTGACCCATTTTTTTATAACTCTATTAAAAAAAATTATTACATATAAATATATTACGAGAGATGTTATACTTCCAATCTCTTTTTTGTCATAAATTCTTACGACTATTTTTTATAGTTATTGAAACGAAGTCAAATCAATAGTTTTGTTGATTTGATTTCGATTAAATAACCATATAATAATCCTTAAATGTTCTAAAAAAAAAAATAGTAAATATAATCTCCATCACACATTATATATTTAAAAAAATTATTGATACTTAATCAATGGATAGGTTATTTTATCTATCATTTTTTCTGTCTACTTTTGTCTATCACCCTTTAACACCATTAAATCAGAATATTAAGAAAAGAGAAAAAAATAAATATTGATTAAAATTCTAATTTAATAATATTAGAGAGTGAGAGATAAAAATAGGCATAGATGGAATAACCTATTGCTGAATCAATTATGGTAACTCATTATTAATTGTATTGAGCAGTTAAATCTAAGAATTTTTGCCCCATCGAAATGCCTTAAATATATGTTTATGAGCTTGAAATCAAACACCACTTCTTCATGTACGAAAAAAAAAAAAAAACCACTTCTTGTCCCCCGTAACGATTGAGTGAAGCTCCATAGTTAGTTCTTGTTTGAAGTCTGAATATTCGTACGAACGAACATCTTTGCAAAAAGAATCCACCATGCAACAACCTCACCATTACTTCTCCGCTGCCAAACCATCTTTTCCCTTACCCGTCGACGCCGATCAAAAAGCCACCAAGTTCCAACCATTCTCGGCGGCGCCACCGCACATGCGCACCTTCCATCTAGCATGGTTCAACCTCTTCTCATGTTTCTTCTCAACCTTCTCCATCCCCCCACTCCTCCCCATAATCCGCGACGACCTCAACCTAACCCCCGCCGAAATAGGCGCCGCAGGCTCCGCCGCCTTCGCCGGCTCAATCGTCTCCCGCCTCCTAATGGGTCCCACATGCGACCTCTTGGGCCCACGCATAGCCTCGGGAACACTCTCTCTCCTAACCGCACCCATAATCCTCGCAATCTCACTAGTTTCAACGCCACAAGCCTTCATCACAATCCGTTTTTTAGTGGGGTTCTCACTCGCAAACTTCGTTTCAAACCAGTTCTGGATGAGCTCAATGTTCTCCTCCACCGTGGTCGGCATGGCCAACGGCGTCGCCGCCGGATGGGCAAACATGGGTGCCGGCATGACTCAACTAGTCATGCCACTTGTCTACTCCCTAATAATGTACCTCTTCAATGTCCCATCTTCCACTGCTTGGAGATTAGCGTTCATAGTTCCCGCAATTTTTCAAGCAATAACGGGTATCTTAGTGTTAGCATTTGGACAGGACCTACCCTCAGGGAACTATAACAACGTGGAGAAAGAGAAGGGTAAAAAAGAGAATGTGTTGAAGGTAGTGTTAGGTGGTTTGGAGAATTACAGAGCGTGGATAATGAGTTTGCTTTATGGGTTTTCGTTTGGGGTGGAGTTAACAACGGATAATATAATAGCGCAGTATTATTATGACAGGTTCGGGGTGAATGTGCAAACGGCTGGGATAATTGCGGCGTGTTTTGGGATGGGGAATTTGGTTTCGAGGCCAATGGGTGGTGTTGTTTCGGACATGATGGGGAAGAGGTTTGGGATGAGGGGAAGGTTGTGGGGATTGTGGGTGGTTCAAACGGTGGCCGGTATGCTATGCGTGTTGCTTGGTAGAGTTGACACGTTGTGGGGTTCTATCCTTGTCATGTGCTGCTTTTCTCTCTTTGTTGAAGCTGCTTCTGGCCTCATCTTTGGTGTCGTTCCTTTCGTTTCCAAAAGGTTAGTTGGCTTGATACTAGTCACAAAAATAAGGTTTACCATTTCTCTTTTATTTCATAAAATTTTATTCATCCACACTACTAACGTTACGTAAGAGTGAAAATTGAATTTTATTATAATCTGATGAAGAGGGGAGAAAAAGTTAATGGGATAAAAAATAATAATTCTGCAACAATAGTTTTATTATAATGAAAAGAGAAAAAGAATTAATGAAATTTACTCACACTTCTTGTTATGTTAATGTCGCAGAAAGAAAAAACAATTATACAACAAGAACATAAATATTTTTCCTTAAAAGTAACATCCAAACATGCACATGTTAACCAGAAAAGCACTTTTATTTTTTTTCAAATAATTGCTGTTTCTGATGGAAAAGGAAAACCCATTCAAATTCTCTCTTACTAAATTTGAAAAAAAAAAAAAATTTCATTTATTTCTTTTTAATTAATATCCATTGAGGCTAATATATATATATATATATATATATATATATATATATGAGGCAGGATCTATATAGGGTTTTATTAGTGTTACTTAACATAATGTAAGTGTTGTTTCCAACTCTCACATCAAAAGGAGAGATAAAGTGGAATGATGAAAGAGAAAGAAAAACATGTGGACCCCACCTCTTTAATGTATGTGTAGGAAAGTGAAGTTATATTATGTTAAATGATAAACATAAAACTCATATATATATATATATATATATATATATATATGAGGTAGGATGTCAAATTTCAAATTTGACACCTCTATATATATATATATATATATATATATATAGACAAGATCCTTTGACACCTCGTCTAAGAACCGTCAGATCAAAAAAGATCAACGACTCTGATTTATAAGCATGTGATACCATTAATCTTTTTTGATCTAACAGCTCTTAGATGAGGTATCAAACTTCAAATTTAACACTGGTATCAAAGGATCTTACATATATATATATATATATATATATATATATATATATATATATATATATATATATAGTAAAAGAGTATTAGATATGACCTAATGATCTTTTTTATACAAGATTTGACTGCCGCGTGAAAACAACGTTTTTCTCAACTTTCACCGGACACGTAGATGGTGTTTCGGAAAACAACGATGTTGTTTATACAAGATCCCACTTGTGAATTGAAAGCATGTTGATGTATCCGCGTCCGCCGTCCGGACTCTTCAACTAATAAAACAAAATGACACATCAATAAAGAAATTTACTTTCTCTTTTAAAGAACAAGACTTTTTGTTATTTTTTATTTATTATTTTAGTGTTTTTCAATTGACCATCAAATGTCAATTAATGGAGAAAGTTTTCAATGCATCGGAAAGGAACAGCGGTGATCCGACGTATTGAGGTTTTCCCAATTAATGGGACGAACGAGTAAGAAACAGATGATTTGATTACTTTGCTTGTAAGCTAGCTAAAGGAATCAAATTTGGAGTTGTTATGATATTTATAAATGGGTCCATTTCGGTATTTTCTAAAGGAAAAAAATAAGTATTATGTTGTAGGAAAATTTTTAGGTCATGTCATAGAGATAATCAATTGTGGAGGTCACTATTTTTAAAATAAAAAAAAATAAAAGAATTGATGAGCTCATTTTTATGTGTCGGTAGAAAAATTGGTTGTGTCATGTGAAAGGAGAAAAATATTACTTTGTAATATCTTTTTTTAAATTATATATTATGTATCAAATATTACAGATTAACTAATAAAAAATAAAAAGTACATATTTATAAAATTTATTATCCAAATGATATTAGAACCAAAGGAAACCCAAAGTGATTTTTTTATATTTTATTATTTTATATCGTCCTTTAATTTTCTATTATTATTGGTTAAACCAGTAGGTTTTCATAATCTAAACTATAATTAATTTCCAGAGTTTTTACTCCAATTACACTATTTCCCGGCTTAGTGTTAAATGACTCAAGCATGTATAATAGATGTATAACCAACCACACATTAATATACCCGTAGCAGAATGTATAAAAAAAATGAAGGAAATTTTTAGTACTTAGCAACTTCCAATATATATATATATATATATATATATATATATATATATATATATATATATATATATATATTTATATATATGATTTATCATTTCTCTTATCATAGGAGATAAAATTATCTCACAAGATTATGTTATTTTAAGGGTTGGAGGAATTAATAAAAAGTATTTTGATAAAATTTATATAACAAAGAAACAAACAAAATTCTTAAAATATCTCAAAACAATATAATTTTGAAGTTGTAAAAGATAATTTTATCTCATGTGACAAAAGAAATATTTTTTTTTAAATACATATACATATATATATAGAGAGAGAAAGATCTTTTAATACCTCATCTGAAAATCGTTAGATCAAGACAAATTAACAATATTACGTGCATACAAATAAAAGATGAGGTGCATGTCTAGAGACTTCTCATCTCTGATTTGTATCAATGTAATAATGTTGATTTGTTTTTATCTAATGATTTTCTGATAAGATATTGAATGATCTTGTGTTTATATATATATATATATAGGAATTTATATTTTTGCAGCTGTTGTACGTGCAACAATCAAATACTTGCTATATATACTTGAAAGCATTAAATGCGGGAAATTATAACCATACAAAAGATGAAAGCATTAAACGTGGGGAACCATAACTATACACATGTCGTTACTATACGTAAAGCGGCTGCAGAAATAATTTTATATATATATATATATATATATATATATATATATATAATATATATATATATATAAAGGATCTGTTTATAATTTTTTTTTACAAACTACACTAAGAGCCTGTTTGGATCCTCTTATTTTTAAGCTAGAAGCTACTTATAAGCTAAAGCTAAAAAAAGAGCTTAAAAAAAGAAGCTAGAAGCTGTTTGAAAATAACATAAAAAATTTAGCTTAAAAATTACTCAAAAGCACATATTTCAAGAAAATTATCTATCTCTCTATCTTTATTACTATTCATTAAAAAAAAAAGCACACAATTCAAGAAAAACAGATAAGAGCTTAAAAAAAAGCTCCTCCTAAGAGCTTTTAGTTTTCAGATTTTTTCTTCATCATAAAAATAAGAGCTTTTCTCAAAACCTGTTTGGCCTAGCTTATGCTTATAAGTAGCTTCTAGCTTAAAAAAGAGAGGATCCAAACAGGCACTAAGTATGACCGGTCATACACTCTTAATTGAAGTATGACCGGTCATACACTCTTAATTGAAGTATGATCGGTCATGTGTGTGTATATATATATATATATATATATATATATGAAGAATCCGTTTATAAATTTTTTTTTACAAACTACACTATGTATGACCGGTGATACACTTCTAATTAAAGTATAACCGATCATGTAATTTGTAAGAATTTGTAAACAAATTCTTTTTAAATATTTATTAAATTAAACCGAGGATGTAATTTGTAAGAATTTGTAATAAAAAATTTGTAAATATTTATTGAATTAAATCGGATTTATGACACTGACCCTTGAGATAAGTTGTCATATTTTTCCACACGTCGTTATTTGCAGATCGCTAGGAGTAATATCAGGAATGACAGGAAGCGGTGGAACGTTAGGGGCTGTTGTGACTCAATTATTGTTGTTCTCAGGCTCCAACGTGTCGAAGGAAACAGGCATATCCCTAATGGGCCTAATGATGATATTTTGTACTCTTCCTGTAACCTTGATCTACTTCCCTCAATGGGGTGGCATGTTTTGTGGCCCTTCCTCCAATCATGGTTCCCTCCAAGAACATTATAGGTTGCTAGAATAGCACTTATTTTGAACAGAACATACATGCAATTCAATTCCATTATACTTCCACCGTAAGAGAGAAAGTTAATGTTCCCACATGGCAAAGTGTCGAAGTGATTACGATGAAAAACGATAAGTTAATATTGTTGCTGAATGTAAAACTAAAGAATATTTAATAGAGAGAGATCGACTCCTTTGTAAACTATGATAAAATTGTGGTTAAGGCGTTTTGTTAAGTTAGTAGTTAGAAAACTATTTCCTCTAGCTAGTGGCATAAAATGCATCACATCAGCATTCAGAAAATGTGCTCTAGATGATGCTGCTACATCCGATGCAAAAGAAGTCTTCAGGTTGCTTGGTATATACTGCAAAGCAATGTTGTATTTTTTTCACTATCCCGTAGTATGAATGGAAATTCAAAATACCTAATGCATTTGCATTTTTGTAAGGCTACTGCCAAATTGTTCTCAACTTGTTTAACTATTCTTCCAATGTCAATTGTTAATAGTACAACTTTTGGAAGAAAATGCAGCAGAATAGAGTAAAAGAACTCTCACAACTGCATCAAAACCATCAGATGCGAAAGAGTTGTCTATATTTGAAATAATTTTGTAAAGAACTAATTCAACTCAAGATCTTAAGTTGTTAGGTGAGTCTCTTTAATGATTTATATTATTAACTAACAAACCTCCTCACAAGAGAGCTCATTAGATTTGAAAGGTGGATGATGCATTGAGAGAGGTTATATTTACACTACTTTTTTTCTTACTATTTGTTATATATTACCAAATCTTAACCATTGATTTCCTTCAATTTAACAGTTATAATTTATTAGAATTAATATTTAATTAATAAGTGTGACCCAATAAATTATAACCGTTAGATTGATGGAAATCAATGGTTACGATTTGGTAATAAGAAGAAAAGATAGTAAATATAACCTCTCCCACGGAGATAATCGAACCCAGGACACCGAGACTCTGATATCATATAAAAAAAATTAATTCTACCCAAAAACTTAAGCTAATTGGTGAGGCTATATTAATGATTTTTTATATCTCTAACACACCTCCTCACAAGAGAACCCATTGGGCTGAAAGGTGGATAATGCATCAGGCCCAAAATACTTGTGCTAGGAAATCCCATAAAAAAGGGAGGCGGCGAGGATTGAACTAAGGACACCAAAGCTCTTGTTATTGACTAGATCCATATCTCACTACATATGCAATAGGATATCATAATCTATCTCAATCTTATCATAACAACATAATCCAAGGAGGATCAAGGACAAAGATCCTCATCCCCAACAAATTAGATGGTTATCATATCAATCAAGGGAGATCTAAAGCCCAAATCCACAAAAATAAATCCTATAAATAAGAGGCTGAAGACCCCAGGTACACACTTTTGACTTATTTACTATTACTGCCAACATTGTGTACACACTCACGTCTTGGCTATACGCCTATTGTTTGTACGAAGTGATTAGTACATTGGCTCTACGGCAATAAAATATCTCTCATAGATATCTCTAAGTGCATACATTTACAATATAGATCTACGGTTCATTAGGATCGAACATTGGCGCCGTCTGTGGGATCAATAAATTTCGAATCTCATTTCGTGATGGTAGTAAACAATCGAAGCGGAGCAAACAAGCCCCCGTCGTCGCCGCATCAACTGTCTGCAATGGAGAGGCTTCAAGGCAGCGGAAACCCAATCCTGGAAGAGGTACATACGAACGACACAGGATCTAAATCTGTGCCAACCAGAAACCAAGAAAAATCGGCGATAAACCAGCCCCAAAACAGGAATGAGGCTCATAACAACTGTGACGTTGAAAACAACCGTGGGAATCACAATGAAAGCCACCATGAAGGTCGTAATGGCCGTGGTGCTGGTCATAATAAGGACCATAATGATGGCCAGAGTATCCACAATGAAGAGCATCATAACACTAGAGGTCAAGGATATGGCCGAGGTGATGAGAATGAAGATCAGAAAAATGACAGCCCATTACCAACAAGCTTATAAATATGGCGATTCCACGGAGGTTTAAAAAGTGCAATGTGCCGCCCTATGATGGTAGTCAAGACCCAGAGGCACACCTGGAGGCTTTCAAGATCGAGATGCTATTCAACGAGATTACAGAACCCATCATGGCTCGGATATTTGCCACAACTTTAACTGGGCAAGCCATGACGTGGATCACAAGGCTGCCCATAAACTCCATTGATTCATTTGAGGATCTTGCAAGTACTTTATGTTTGAACTTTGCTACTAGCAAGGCTCACCCAATGACGGCATATGCATTGGGGCAAAGTCGACAAGAGAAGGGAGAAACACTGTGAAAGTATTTGGAACGGTTTAAACAAGCCGCCCTCAAAGTGCACAACTTGACCAAGGCAGTTCACATGCACCTGATTATTTCAGGTTTAGATGGATGATCTTTACTGGCCAAATCAATCTTTAAGACTCCATTCAATGACTTAGAGGAATTCAAAAGGAGGTCGGACAAATATCTAGATATGATGAAGATGGCTATAGCGTGGACAAGAAGAATGGAGACAGAGATCAGCAAGGTCCTAAAAAGATGTCCGACATGAGGTCTAGAAAGTCTAATAAGTGCTCTAACAGAGCTCAATTCGACAAGTATGCACCTTTAAACGTCCCCAGGTCTAGGATAAGGAGAGAAGTAGCCCAGAACGAGCTTCGTAATGTGGAAAGGCCAAGGCCGATCAAGAACAAGGGCGAACTGGATCGCTCTAAATATTAATTGTGCATTTCACGATGGTAATGGGCACACCACTAATGAATGCTGGGACCTCCGAGATGCTATCGAAAAGCACATCATAGAGGGAAAGGCTCAAATAGTACCTCATCTGCACTCAAAGAAGGAAGAACGACAAACGTAGGCAACGAAGTCATAGTAGAAGCCCTAGCCCAAAGAAAGAAAGCAAGAGAGATCGAGATAAAGATGAATGCGGCAAAAGCAAGAAAGATGAAGCCAAAGATAATGAATTTGAAGATGCCGAATATGAGTGGAATGTGATAAGTAGAGCACTTGGAGGTGGAGGTGATACCACTAGTGCCAAAAGAAAATACCTCAGAGAGGTTATGTCAATTAAAGACAGAACAATTTTTAAAGAAAGTGGAAACAAGTCATGTCCCCTGAGGTTATTCTTCACTGAAGAAGACTTGAAGAAGGTCATCCCAGGACATACTGATGGGTGAGGCTACATTAATGATTTTATATATCTCTAACACACACCTTCACAAGAGAGTCCATTGAGCTGAAACGAGAATGATGCATCAGGCCCAACATCCTTGTGCTAAGAAATTCCACAAAGAAAATGGGAGGCAGCGAAGATCGAACTCAGGACACACCAAGGTTCTGATACCAAGTAAAGAACCAATTCAACGCAAAAATTTAAGCTGTTAAGTTAAGGCCTCTTTAATGATTTATATAATACTCTAACAAGCTTCTTGCAAAATGTGAAAGCCAAACTCACTACAGCAAGTTACATTTGCAGATAAGAAAAAGCCTCAAGGATTTCCGTAGAAGATATATTGACTGCCATTAACTACTTCAGATGAATAGGATTGGTGTTTTTCCTCATGAAATCGAAGTCATTCTGGGGTTTAAAAACAAAATATAAGGAATTCGAAATCGTTTGAGTTTTGGAAAAAAAAATGTAAGTAATTTTGAATGACATTACTTTATAGATTATTGTTTCTCGTATTATATGAGATAAAATTATCTCTCATATATACATAAAAGTGTATGAAGCTCATGTTTTCTTTTTTTCTCTCTTCTCTTTACATAATTTCACATAGGTCCTACACACTTTTATATATATGTGTGTGTATGTGTGTGTTGGTTTATTATCTCTCATGTTATAGGAAATAATTTTATTTCCTATACACACATAAAATTGTATGAGGCTTATATTTTCTTTTTCTCTCTTTTCTCTTCACATGACCACACATGAGTCTCATATATTTTTATGTATGTAGGAAATAATTTTTTCTCCTACTTCTAGCAACGTGAATCTCTGCATCCATTATACTATGAATAATTTTTTCGTAGTCCTTCTCTCATGTTGAGTGACTTTTCAGCTTGCTTGAACTTTCATGACCAAGACAAATACCTGCAAACTTTTTGTTTTCTCCAATTTAATTGTTGTGTGCTTGTTTATCCTCAATACTTGCTCAGATGAATTATGAGTGCTATTCCATCCCCACCAACCCACATTAGTTCCTGAAACGAGTTAGCATCATGGTGATATAATGAACCAGGGTCCTCTAGCAAGATATACTTAGGAGGACATGCTGGAATTTATATAATGGGTGCTCATCTTCCTTATGTTGCTGGCCATATAGTAGTTATGCTGCCCAATCTGCCATACTTTCTAGAGGTTATTATGTAGATGGGGTTAGCAGAGATTTCCTTTTCTTTCCAGTTTTGAATTTGTCCTTATTTTATAGTTACTTATCCACTTACTTGTTCTATCATTTGGCTAATATTTGCAAACTTGAATGCCGATATTATATACTACAGAATCACAGATCAATTGTTTTGTTATACTTATTTCTTACTTGCCATTCCCCTCATAAACCACCTCAAGTATTTTGGTTCTTCATTGGGCTTCTTTGTGATATTTTTCTGTAATTGTGAAAAAGATGTCAATGGCAAAAAATGCACAAACAAAACTAATCTTTCGATTAGAGTTTGAGAAGTGTTGGGCTTCCTCCTTCAATTCTAAGTCCAAGCCCATAGAGGGGTTTCTTAAAAACCCTAAACCCTAGATCTCACATCCTCTATATATTCCTTAGTTGTGGGTGGAGGCTAGGTTAGATAAAGAAAAATATTTGAGAGACTCTTGAGTGATACTTGAGAGATTTGAGAGCAAATCTCTACGCTTTGTGTTTGAGAGATCTCTAGAGAGAGTTTGAGTGAAACATCTCTAGAGAGAGTTTGAGTGAAACATCTCTAGGGAGGTTTGATTATCACCATTGTTGGAGAGGTTGAGTTAACCACCACATTAGTGAATTTGACTATTTGTGACCATTATTTTCATAGTGGATTTTTGATCTGGACTAGGTACCGTGAGTTTTTACTTCTTCATTGGAGAAGATTTTCTCACGTTAAAATCTGTTTGCGTTCTTCTCTCTCTCTCTCTTGTTTGCGTTTTTGACTTTTCGCTGCGCTGCCCGACCTGGTGAAGTTCAGGCCGAGGTATTGCCGAGATCCGAGATCCAGGATCTCATTGACTGACTTCCGCAAAGGGCCCCTGAGCTGAGCTTGAGGGAACCGAGTTCCCAACAGTGGTATCATAGCCCGA